TTCATTAAATAATTCTACATGTGTTAATTCATAGTTTTGATGCCTTCAGTGTGAAGCTACAATATTCATAGTCATGAAAATAAAGAAAACTCTTTGAATGAGAAGGCGTGTCCAAACCTTTGGTCTGTACTGTAAGGTAATCAAAATCAGAACATGCAGTTTTAGTCTCTCATCACATGCAACTCGCTTCAATGGCCACAGTCATACAGATTTCAGCTCACATAAATGCAAAACACCATCGTTCATACCTCATTCACCCATTCATCTATCTGCCATACGCAGCGGATCCAAGCCTTTTCATTCATACATCTCATCCACACTTTTCATCCTTTTTCACACCCTTCACACATGCCCCCGGTGGTCCACTGACCTGATTAATAGTTTGTTAATGGTCAGGCGAGTCAGTTTCAAAATTTTTATGTGTGCACACATTTCTAATTATTAGATTATTGACTCTAATCCCTTTAACAGGATTAATTTAACATCTCTGCAGAACACCAATCACCGCAGAGATCACAAACAGCTTTCTCAGCTTCAAGCTTTGACACTCCAAGGGGTCATCTTTGAATGCCCCCAGGAAAGAAAGAAAAAACTTGGGCACGTGCAATTAACTGCAGTTCCTCTTTGCCTTTCAGGCAAATATTACTCAGCGCTTAAAATCTCAGCCTCTCGGGCATTTCAAAGAGGTTTCAGCTTACCTCTACTCAGTCCACCGGCTACTCATTTTCAAGGCCTCTACGTGCCTTTTATAACATTTTCTTTTTATATATCAAAATAGCTGTTCTCTGCAAGGAGGCTTAATTCTTGGAGAGAAATCAGTATAACTCCAAGCACTCTATCATATAGGACTATTCCTGTCTTGGAACCACGACTTTGGCCGGGACATAAACATTACTTCAAGCCTGGCAGGTTAGCCAATTCCAACTTCGTCTATTTTAATTGACAGCCTCCTTGCGCGCTCAAGCACACGTCGGCACATTAAGCTAAACCAGATGTCCTGTTTAATTTGAAAGGGATACATCAGATTTCGTTCACTTGAATTAATAATCAGAGCGGAGGACCTATGGACAGCCGTATTTCTAAAGTGTAACAGAAGAGACAGATGATCTTACCCCTTCTGGTTCAACGGGCCCGTTTCAGCAGTTCATGTCCCTCTGCCTGGACCAGCCACCTTTCCCTTCTCCTTCAGCAAAAATGCCAGACCACGTTTGGGTGCCAATTTGTAGGAGAAGAAAGATTACTAATTTAAAAATGATGAAGAGACGACTGGTTTCCTCTCAAGAGCCGATGCGGCGGACCTTTTATTTAAAACACATATATCTTCAACAAAATCCCAAGAATCCCAAAGTATCCCTTTTATGAGTCAAGATATATATAACAGTCATACCATTGTTGTGTATGTGAGACATTTTGACCAATCAGATGTACCCTTTCACTTACACACATTTTGACACTCACAACATTGATTCTCAAGCACAGTTCCAGCAATACAAACATCTGGAAAAGATCAGGTTGGCCTGCGTGACAGTTTACAATAACAATTTCATCATTTATCTGGATGCTGAATTCCAATGTCACAGTGACCTGGCTGCTGTCATGAGATTTCCTGGCTGAACTGCAGTAACAAGCCCATTAGTCTTTCCTTTCGCCAAGAACTTATCCCTAGTGTATTCTGTTTTGCAGCCGGCTTGCATGTTTACTCAGAGTGAACAATTCTTCACAGAATTCATCTTGTAATGGTAAAAACAATAATAACACTTTTAATCTAACAAACAAAGCTTTAAGCTTCCACATGATCACTCCATTTGACTCAGAAAAAGCCTTGTATGCTGGCTGAAATTCTTCTTCTTTGGTGTTTTATGGCAGACTACATCCAATTTGTTGCATTACCGCCTCTCTGAGACTGAACCCTGAGCCTACATTTTAAATTCTATTTATTAACCCACTACAACTCTCCACCCACCTTCCTCTTCTCCATGTTGAACCCAACCCACATTTTCTTGAAGCTTGACTAAATGTCTGCCTTTATCTGATGTGCTGCCAGATCTCTAAAGCCAATCCTTTTGCCATCAACAATGCTGCAAGCTATAAACTTAACCCATCTGTAGTTCTCATCCTATAGGCCACTTAAAAATCTAGGATTGCTGTTGCAGCCCCAGTTTTCCCAGTCCGAGGATCTTTTGAGTCATCTGTATATATTTGTATATAACCATTATAATTCCTGTCTATATGACTGTATAGGCTTGAGCTAAATATGCACCTTTATTCCTTTGTGCAGCAACTGCAGATATACAAGAACTCCACGCAGTTTCATACTTGGAACATGTGGCCAGAATACATTCAGACACAGGTCAGTTTTATTTACTGACAATTCAGCTGCTACTTCATTACCCTTCCACCCAAACCTTGCTTTCTCTTGCCTAGTCCTCTCCCAACAGGGTTTCAACACTTTTTGTACTTGCATGCCCTTTCAAAGTCAACCAATAATTAGGCATTATCTACTTTCTTCTATTCAAAGCTAGATCTTCTCCATTCACCTGGAGGGCACGATTCAGTGCTGACCGAACTGCTCCCAAGCATAACGTAGGAACTCTGGCCTGAAGGACATCTAATTCTATCAGATTTTGCTGCAGCTCCATAAACCCCACCAGTGACCCGCAAGGGAGTTTATGAACAGAAAATAGAGGCTTAGGCTTCAATTTTTACCGTAATTGAAAAATTTTATGAAACATTTAATTGTTTTAAAAGCTTTTAATTATGCTTTTATTCAATACTGTTCAACAATACAAATTTATATTTTATATAAGGTCAAATTTAAGTATTTAAAATTATTTTTAATTTTGGCTGATCTCTATATATATAATACATATAAACAGGTTTTTATTATAATTCCTTTAATTTGTAAATACAGAGACTATACTATATTGCCAAATGTAATGGGTCACTCCACCAAATCAATGAATTCTGGTGTTACCATCACTTCCTTGGCTGCAGGTGTATAAAATTTGGTGCCTGCACAGAGCCCTGACCTCAACCTTCTTGGACACCTTTGGGATGAATTAGAGCAGAGGCTATAATTCTAGTTTTCTCATCTAACTATGAACACACTCCTAAACCTTGTGGAAGATGTTTACAAAATAGGTAGAGCTGCTATTGCTGGCGGTGGGTCCATCAGCAGATTGGACCTTATAGTCTAAGAATAGGATGTCATCAAAGTTCATGTAAAAGTAGACAGACAAATGCTTTTGGCAGTATAGTGTAAATAATAACAGCTTATTTTGTCATATGCATATACTTTTTAATACCTTGAAGTGCAAAACCTTTTTATATATTTTTTTGTTTTATTGGGCTGCATGGTGATGCAGTTGGTAGTACTGTTGTCTTACAGCCAGAAGGTCCTGGGTTCAACTCCCGGCCGTGGCTCCTTCTGCATGGAGTTTGCATGTTCTCCCTGTGCATGCGTGGGTTCTCTCTGGGTACTCTGACTTCCTCCCACAGTCCAGGTTGTGTGCATGGTTGTTTGTCCTGTGTGTCTCTGTGTTGCCCTGCGATGGACTGTCGACCTGTCCAGGATGTACCCTGCCTCTCACCCATAGACTGCTGGAGATATGCACCAGCTTCCTCATGACCCCTACGGAAGAAGCGGGTATAGAAAATAAAGGCATTTTGTTTTATTTTTGAAGATTTAGCGGTTGAAAACTTCACCGTAGACCTGTTAGAGAAATCACTCTATTGGCACTTGAACTCAGCAAAAGAATTTTGCACATGAACATGACATGACCAGTTTTTTATGCACAAATGAATGTACCTTTCCCCTGTGCAGTAATATATTAAACATTCCAGTTCACTGCTAAACCATAGTTTTTCTTCAGAGGGTGGCAATATGAGGGCCATGGTGAGAGCTTTTTCATTGCTGATTCCTGAGCCTTTAAACAGTTGATGCCTGAGGCTACCTCTTCTCTTATTGACGGGGTTCACAGTTTAATATTTCACTCCACTTTTAAACCATCTGTCTTTGCTGTACAGAATACAGACATTGCTGTTCTCAAAGAGCGTCCCTCCGCCTTGGCACAGCGCCGGAGATGCAACTTCTCAGGTCAAGGCAAAGCTGTCTATCTTCTATCTAAAGGAAAGAGTCTTTAGAAGGAATGTCTTTAAGCCAGCAATGCTTCTGAAGGCCAGCATGGGGCATTTCATACTATTGCAAGAATTCAAATGGAGGAAAATGACTATTTTACTCGTGAATATCATCCCTGGTGAGTTTATTCTCTCATTACTAGGTAAACAGCCTCTTAAAAGACTAGATCGGGGCAGCCAAAATCAGATTGCCCAAAATAGTAGCCAACAAACATGTGTTTGGTGTCACAGTTGGGGTTTTCATCTTTTGTGCGGGTATAGATTTTTTCTCAGCAGCTCTGGAAAACAGAAGAAGCAGAAGATCAATAATGGTGAGGACAATACAACTGTTATGAAGAAATACTCCTGTCATACAAAAACACTTATTTTGGACAGAATAGACAGAGAATAGAAATAAAAAAATCCAATAAATTTCAGTTATTCTTTTTGACCTGTTTTGTTTCTTGTAAATTCTTCGTCTTTTAGTGAAACTCCTGCAGCGTTTTCAGTCAAATGGATTTGTTCTATTTAAAAAGAAAAGAAAAAGTTTAGTTTAGCCACTAGCTTCAGCCTCCAGGACCAACTGCTCTGGATATATACTAAATAAGTTAATTAATCTATTGAAGGTAAGATAAAAAAAAACAAAAAAAAAAACACTGAACTATCCCTTTAAACTCATTTTAGGTGAAAAAGGAGTGAGCTGTAAATATTTCCCTGTTGTCTTCAAATTAAAAGCAGGGTATAATTATCAAACTTGATGGAAAACGACCCACATCTTCAAATATTTTTTATTATCTTGTATATTAGCTTTAAAACCGGTGTCTCTTGAAAATTAGACTATAGTCAGTCATTTTCTACCGCTTATTCCATAGTGGGTCGCGGGGTACACCCTGAACAGGTCGCCAGTCCATCTCAGGGCAACACACAAACAACCATGCGCACACTCATTCATACACCTAAGGGCAATTTAGAGAGACCAATTAACCTAACAGGCATGTCTTTGGACTGTGGGAGGAAGCCGGAGTACCCGGTGAGAACCCACGCATGCACGGGGAGAACATGCAAACTCCATGCAGAAAGACCCCCGGCCGGGAATTGAACCCAGGACCTTCTTGCTGCAATATATGCACTGTAATGTAATGGCTCTGTAAAATCTGTACTGAACACTCCAGCACCTCCTCTGGTAAAGGTATTAAAAAGACCCAAACTCAAGTAATGTTTAACATAATTTATATTTATTTTCCTTTGAACAAAATGTTAATAAATGTATTTGTTTTACGTCCAAAAAAGATCATGACTTGTGGGACGCAATTTTATAAATAATTTTCATCCAAGTCTTTTGTAGAAAAAAAAAGAAAGTAAAATAGCAAACTAAAGCATCTCTAGTATGACAATATGACAACTTTATTATAACCTTTTCTCTATATTTAAACCTTTTCTCATTTCAAGCTTTGTCTTTTTCATATATATCTATATTTTTAAAGACCTCTTTATGTCATCCCTTTAAACATCCAGCTTAGTCCTACTCATCAACTCACACCACTGCTTTAGACAACAAAAAATGTGGCAAAAATCTCAAAAAAACAGACAAAAACCAAGGAGGCAAACAAAAAACACAGAGATTCCAACAGGTGGGAGGAGGGTGTCAGGAGAGGCAGGAAGGGGAGACTTTAAGGGGATCCCACATCCTCAGGACATATTTACAACAGAAAGGACATGGTGGCAACAGCGGCTGGGGCAAAGTAGGTGTTTCGAGGCGAGGGGGTTCATCTGCATAGATCCACATGACTCAGTCAGCTAGTGATCGAAGGGGGCGGAGCCAAAACTGTGAGGCTGTCTGCAAGGGAACGGAGGTCTCAGCAGGGTTTGTATATGAAAACCAATAAACAGTGTTAGAATATTAAACTAAAAGGTCAAGGGTCACCAGTCCGTTCAATTGGGATAGGCACCAGCCCATCTAAGATGGCTAAAACTTATCACCTCAGTTCATCTTTAGCTTATTATTAGAGATTGACCATTAAAAACGACCGTGTGGATAAACAATTTTGTTAATGCAATCCTTTCTCATTTTATCACGTTTCGGCTTTGGATACATGTCGCTAGCAAAAAGGGTGGCAGAGATGATTTAGCAGAAGGCGCCATTTGAAATAAGGAAAACACAGAACAAAACTGGATGGATCAGCCCTTTAAAAACTCCTCAAACTCCTTGCACACTGACTCTTTGCTAGTCAGAGAAAGAACATAACTGATCAGCTGGTCTATGATTTTCAGAGTAGGTAGTTTGATTGACCGGCTTGAATAAACTCTGAGATCCTGAAAAGCCAGATTGTCCCTGGAGAACCTGTCATGAAGAAGGAGCTAACCCTGAAGTGTTTGATTTTTACCACTTTTACCCCCTTTGATGCCAGCATCCATCTCCCTGGGTTCACTCAGCGACAATGCACTCAAAGATCTGGGAGCCTCATTCACCAAGTAAAATATTTACGACCAACAAAAGTGTCCAGAAACCTCCTGAGTTCCGGTACTCCACAAAAGGACTGAAATAAGTTCCCACGCAGGTCTCACTATCCCTGCATTTTTCTGATTTGTTTAGAGGCTAATAGATGGGTTCCTCACAGCTGGATACTTAGCTCCTGCACAATGTCCACACAGCTTCCCCCCATTTGAGTGGGAGGTTGACGATGAACGTAACTATACAAAGAAACTGGATAGTTTGGATCAGTCCTGTTTAGATACCAAGGGCACAATGGTGACATGATTACTGTGCTGAAGTAGCAATAAAAAACTGCTCTGTGAAAGCAGTTCTATAAATGACAACGAACCATACTTCCTTGTTTTGCAGACATGCCTCAAAAATGTTAATAAATGTATTTGTTTTAAGTCCAAAAAAGATCATGACTTGTGGGACGCAATTCTATAAATAATTTTCATCCAAGTCTTTTGTAGAAAAAAAAAAGAAAGTAGAATAGCAAACTAAAGTTTTGCACATTTTGTTTTGTCTCTTTTTTCCCCAAACCTGTTCCTGCACAAAATTGTTTCTAGTTCTTGCTTAGCACCAGTGCTTGGTGTTTCCACCACCTCAAACTTTGACACTAGTAAAGATGTGTTGCTTTATTTGATCACTTTCACACCAGAGCAGGGTTTTTGCTCGGCCAGACGTGAACCTTTATCCAAACTTAGGTCTGGACCAAATGAGCGAACTCTGGTCGGCCTAAAAACATTGGTTGTGGTTTTCTTGTAAGTGAGCCCTGGTAGTTCGCACCAAACAGAGGAACTATCTAAAGAGACATAGAGAGGAGTGACCCTGCTGAATTTGTCTCTCGTAAAGAGCAACATGCTGAAGAGCTCGGTGCCTCATCTGCTGCTCACAAAGGGGAGCTTAGGTTAAAACACCTAAATCTGTATTCATTTGGTGTTGCTCCAAATCCATGCATCATTTTTTAACTTTATGCTTTTTATTCTTCATAGTCAGTACATTAAATTTGCCTCAAACAATCAGCTGTTCTATCTGAGTGATGTTGCCCACTAAATTATGACCACCACCTGCCCAACCGAACCGAATCCCCCTCACGGTTCTAGTGTGAAATCATCCTTACTGCCCACTCTGAGCTGGTCCAGAGGAAAGAACCACCTTCTGGAGCTGGAGGAGGGCTAATGGATGCCAACAACCAATAACAATGTGATCACCAGAGTTTTTTTTAATTTTTGATCTGATCTAAATTGAAGACAAAAACTGAAAAACTGTCCTGCTCGTGTTGCAAAATCCTGGGAATTCTCAAAGTTGGAAATTTTCCATGGGAAATTCAGGGAAGAAACAGGGAATTTTAAATAGTGAAGGTTGTCTCTTAATAGGAATTGTAATGATAGTAGAGGGAAATATAATTTTAAGCATAATCTTGACTAAAGCAATCAGATTTCATGCAAGCGCACTTGAGTATATCCGTCAGTTCCTCAGTCACATGTACATAACACACTGCTTACCGCAGGGGGGCACACCTCCTACACACACTGTGCATATCTCCATCACAAGATTCCTGCATTAGTAGGTTTTACTGAAGTTATTAGGTAAATATATTACATGAATGGTATTGATATTTAACTGTCTTCCTATAACAAAAAAACACCCAAAATATTAATATTTGTTTGTTTAAATTACCCCAATTTCCACTAAATCCCCATGATATCCCATAATCCCCATGGAACATTTCCAAATTAGAACATATTCAGAAAACTATTGTGGATCATCTAATAAAAGGGAGAAATTTAAGTTTGTGTCTGAAGAGTAATTATGTTGCAACTGTTTCAGG